GCGCTCAACGCTTGCCTGCCCTCATCGACGATGACGAAGGCTGTAGCGCTTGTTTCGTGGGGCGAGTCCGCGGTCCAGTCGACGATGTCGGCGTGAATGCGCTCGCCGGGCAACCTGTGTGCGCTCCGCGTGCTTGCTGACGCTGTGACGAGTGCTCTTGGTGACTGCGCACGTTGTACACTGCTTGCTGCTGATGGCGTTGCGATCGTCGATGCCCATCAGCTTGCAGTACTGCTGCACGTCGTTGTCGTTGCGGTGGCCAAGCACATCATGCATCGATGGTGTGTGTGCCTTGCTCTGGGCTGCAGGAGCTGCTGCGTGTTGCTGTGGTTGCTTGCAGGCATCGTTGGTGAGTCCGTGTGCTGTGGGTGGACCAACAGCAACAATGGGCCAGCATCGGAGGCTGTTGCGCTCCTTCAGCTTGACCTCGGCTCCGTGGCTGAAGCGCACGTAGTGTCCATCAGCGCCATCACGCTGCGAGTGGCCCGTTGGCCTGCCGCTGCTGTCCCTGGTCAGACGACCGAGGGCGATGAGGTTGGCCTGGCCCTCGGGCACGTAGAGGCACTCCTGCAACACAATCTGCATCGTAGCTCCGCTCGTCGTGCGTGCATGCAACAGCACAGAGCCAACACCGCGCACGGGCACACGTGTGCCGCCAAGCGCAGTGATGTGGCGTGGATGGTGCTGTTGCAGGTGCGGTGTCAGCTCCACGAAGGCGTCCTTGACGAAGGTGAGGTTGTTGACAGGCAAGTCCTGTCTGCTGAGTCATCATTGACCTCCCTTTTTCACGACACCACAAATTTGCACTCACCTCTCTTGTGTTCTGGAATGTTCACGTGATTTCCCTCCAACCTGTTGCACGTGCAGTGTTTAGCTTGTGTGGTTGCTCGGTGTTACATGCTCTTGCATAACACACCACATAACCACACAACTCTCAACAAACACTGCCACGTCACCACTTTGCGTTGTCGACAATTCTTGTCTTCTGCTCTGTTTCTTTCTGTTGGAGTGTTCATTCATCCTACATCCTTGTTTGCTTCACAACTCAAGTAAACACGCACAACTTCCTCTTACCAAGACAATCTCCCACACAGCACACAGCACACACAACACACAGCACACACAGCACACACACACACACACACAAGTCTCCAACAACAGTACCACCACCATGAACTTGCAACACTTGTGTGCTACAGCGATGCCAGCTTCGTCACAGACCAGCTGACGGGCCGCTCCACGACGGGCTTCACCTGCTACATCAACGGCTGTCTTGTGTCCTTGTGTCTTGGAGCAGTCGGCTGCAACCCACGGTTGCGCTGAGCACCGCCGAGGCCGAGTGCATGGCCATCTCCGCTGCAGCGCAGGATGTCGTCTTCCTGCGGCAGCTGCTCATGGACCTCGGCGAGCCCGAGGCTGGAGCCACCAAGATGCTGACAGATAACCAGGCGGCCATCGCCATCGGCAACGACCACGTCACCAAGCCGCGCACGAAGCACATCCGGGTACGCCACCACTTCGTGCGGGAGCTCATCGCCGACGGAACCATTGTGCTGCAGCACTGTCCCGGCACGCGGATGGTTGCCGACGCGCTAACCAAGGCACTGGACAAGCAGACCTTCGAGCAGCACCTGCCACGACTAGTGGGAACATCGACGGCTGAGACGGAGCAGAGGAAGGCAGTTGAGGGGGAGTGTTGAGAGTGAGTGAGTTTCTGTTTTGTGTTGAGTCCTTCCTAATTTGCCTTCTCGTGTGGTTTTGTCTTGTTTGCCAACAACACCTGCTTTGTGGTTTTTCCGTTGGCAAACATTCCTTTCTCTCTGCTGGCATGTGTGCCAACTGCCTCTCCTCCCCTCCTCCTCATCCTGCACACGTGAGTTGTGTGCCATGTGTGTTATGTGTGTGTGCATGCTCGCCATGCTTGGCAAATGCCATGTGTGCGTGCCATGCAGTGTTGTGAAGTGTTGCCTGTTGTGTATGCTTGCCTGCAAGCATTCATGCCATGCCTAGCATTGCTCTGCGCGCATGTATGCATGCTGGTCGTTGTTTAGATTGTTTGTGTTCGTGCACACTCTGCCCATGTCGCCTTGACAGCGTCATTCACTGTGTGTGCACTTGTCTTGTGTTTGTTTGAGCGTGCTGCCCGCGTTGATTTGGCAGCAGCTTGCTGTGTTTGTTCATTCTCCTTGTGTTCTTGTTTGTTGCGTTTGCCTACAGTGAACGCTCGCATCCCTTACTTTATTTCCTTTCCAAAGATGTTTCAAGAATCAATGAACAAAACAATGAATGGACCGTTCATGCTTTGTTCTTTTGTTTTACGTTTCAGAAGAAGCACCTCAACGCCACCACCCTCCGTTCGCTTGGTCCTTTGGGCGTGCATGTTTGGCTCCCATCTTGCTACTTGCGGAAGCAAGCGTTGATTTGAGACCTCGGCCTCGCAACTGGTAGCCACTTTGGAGATAGACTGGGAGGCTCCTCGAAGTCAACCCGCTGAAATGAAGTGTGAAGTGCGCAGGCACGAGCGATTTGTCAGACGTGAGTCAGTGATAACAAAATGAGGTGTTTCAGAAACACCCTGGACTGTAAATCCAGCAGGCGAACGAATCAAGTGGACATGTGTGAGGAGGGAATACAGCTGAGTTGGTTGGTTACGGACGTTGATATGGTGCAGGAGTTGTCTGGCGAACATGAGAAGCAAATGCCTTGCTAGAGGTTGGCCCATGCATCCTGTGGTCGCATGGTTGAACCGACAGTGCAGAGGAGACATGGGAAAGCCATTATTAGTGGCGTTCGCGTGGGTATGTTCGTTCAGGACACGGAGTGGAAGAAGCATGTCACGCGATATTTTGGGGTGGCCAGCCAGTTGCCACGAGCAGCTGCGAGGCGAAAACCTACTGTCTGGTCCCCAGCCAAACGTCATGGGCTTGGGAAGCGAGGCATCCAGCCATCGGTCTGCATCAAATGCCTGACCATTTGGGAGCACAGAATGTGTTGGGAAGGTGGCAACATCAGATCGACTCTTAAAACCGCCGACGGCGTTGGATCAAGCGCGTAAGACAGGATGAGCATGGCAGTGCAAATGACACTTGCATCTGTACACGTGCGTGTTGTCTTCATGTGTGTACGCGTGTATGCGTGCGATTACACAAGTGTGTGTGTGTGTGTGTGAATGTGTGCGATTGTGCGATCTGTCTACCTCTGGGTTCTTGTAGACGTCAGGGTCCTTGTTCATTTCACTGAAGATACACATGATGACTCTTTCGCCTTCAACTCTGTATGGGCCAATATTGCAGACTGCGTCCTGTGTGTGGGTTGGTAGCCAGAACGGATAACTGATGAGCAATTATCATCCATGGAGCTGTGTGATGGCAGCTGTGTGTAGCACAGGGGGTAGAGCATCGCAGTCAAGCTCAAGAGCACTCTGCTTGTACCTTCGGTAAGGTGCGCCTGGCGGCAAGGAACGGTGGATGCAGCCGCTCAGTCTATATGATGGTATACATGGGGAGAGGTGGCGAGTGATGACGTGGGTGAGACAAAAGGCAAAAACAAATATCAAAAATAAGCGAGCGTGTTCGCCCGCGGCACTGCAAAGGTGGTTGTGTCGGCCACTTGCTGGATATCACCCCCTCACCTCTGTAAGAAAGCGTTCAAGAAACTGGTCGTCAGACCGAGCACGCTCGAGGGTATCAGGGTGGCTCGTGAACAGCTCGACCACCTGGTGTCAGCGCAAAGAGCAAGAGCGCGTGATAGTATGAGTGCATGCGTTTTGTGAGTGCTGTGAGTGCGTGACTCAGCATACGCGCACGTGGGTGTGCTCGGATGGATTGGAATGTACGAAGTGACAAGGCAGGAGATGAGAGCAAACGCGCATCGTTTGACGTGCCATGGACGTGAGAAGGGACGCCAGGGCTTTTGGGATCAATGCAGAGATGAACAATAGCAAGTGTCGGCAAGTGACATCCAGGCCCTGGGATTGACAGGCCTGCAGGAAGGCAGCAGGGTAGAATCGGTGATGGGCGCATATTGTGTGCGCAATGAAGCTATGAAGGGGTGGGCAAAAACCGAGAAACACATCGTGCGAACGCAAGCCAGAACACACAACAGCACGAGCACATCTGGACAAATGCACGAACGCGCACAACACACAACACAACACACACACACACACATTCAAAACACACACACACACATGACTGACCTGAACAATGTGGAACAGGAATTGCTGATGGGGCACAGGCTTGCAGCGCAAGATGCGACCCTTCAAAGGCAATCGATGGTTACGTTACATGTGTGTTGAGGGGAACAATGAATGAGTACACACGCACGAGAGCACACAGACAGACAGACAGACAGACAGACACACGCGCGCGCACACACAGACTGCGCACTGGTTTTGTGGTGATTGAAAGGGAAAGGTGTGAGTGAAAGTAGTAAACCTTGATGATTGTTTCGAGTTCCTCCTTTGCATCGAGTGCCTGATCGAGGCCAGACCCTTTGCCAAAGCCGAGATTGAGGCGAATTGGCAAGGAGGTGAGACCGTGCCTGCAAGCACACAAGCAAGGTGGGGTGCAACCGCGGTTATTGGTTGTGGCGTGCATGGATGAGGAGCGGGCAGGATGAGGTCCACTTCTGAAAGCGCAGGGAGACAGATGAGGACAAATCACATGCACATACGCGCATGCGGTAAGATAAACGCGCGCGCACACAGACAGACAGACAGACACAGACAGACAGACTGACAGACTGACACACACACACACACACACACACACACACACAGAGTTTCAATCACCAGTGCGTCGTGATGAGCTGAGTCGCTCGATGTAACAGGTCTCTCTCGCCGTCCTGGAAGCATGTATATAGCAGAGGCAGGTGTTACATCGTACACGACACGCTGCGACATCCACGGACTCAGTATCAGGCAGCCGCACACACACACACACACACACACACACACACACACACACAACACACGCACACGCACACAAGCACAAACACACAAAAACGCACACGGACAGACACACAAGCACAAGCACAACACACACACACACACACACACACACACACACAAATGCAGCACATGTATTCTACCTCAAGGCCAAGGAACAAGGTGAGTGTTGCTGCAACACAGAGCGCCTTGAGTTCCTGATACAGGTCAAAAGGCGCTTCTGCCTCACTCAGCTGCGTAGTGAAATGGGTGAGAGGGCGTGATGGACGTGCAGACACGAGAAATGGTCGTAAGACGAAATGCAAGTTTGTTGGCACTCGACAAGAACATCGCCACAGGGCAGTAAGCGCACGGCCACAATGCACTGTTCGAAGAGCGGAGAGCGATGTCACGCACTTGTTGAACTTGCTGCCTCGCCCATGCCTCGAGTAGAGCCAGGTTCTCCGCACACGTCTCCGGGCGAGCAAATACTCGGTGCAGTGCTGCAATCTCTGGGTGTGCGCTGGACTTTGGCGTCAGCAGCATGCACTGGCTGCCATACACCTTCTCAACGAAAGGCCGGTAAGCGGATGCACGATCAAGGACAGCCGGGCAGCCTGCAGGCTGTCGTTCGAGCTTGGCTGCTGTGGGTTGCTGCTCATGCTGCTGCTGATGGTGCTGGTGGTGTTGGTGGTGGGCGCGCCCTTGCTGCTGCCTGTGCTTGTGATGCTTGCGATGTATCTGATGCTTGTGGTGTTTGCCGTGTTTGCCGTGTTTGCCGTGTTTGTGTTTGAGCTTGTGGTGTTGATGCGGATCAGTTGCATTGTCTGTTGCATTGTGCTGATGGTCCAGGCTTGAGCTTGCACTTCCTTGCTGCGCATGCGAGGATGATGTGTGTGCTTGTTGTGACTTGGTGTCGTCAGCTGCGTCCCTGTCGTCCTCCTTGCAGCCATCGTTGTCCTCCGTGTCTTGTGTATCGCCAGCACCAGCACCGCCCAAGAGGCACTGGCGGCCTGCGTTTGCGGAGCACACGACGATAGTCTTGGCGTTGAGTAGGCGGGTGAGGAAGATGCGGCCATGTGCTTCAATCTGGGAAGTGAAGAACGCTTGTGTATCACGCCACAAGCTAAAGCTCTGATCCCCAACCACAGCCCACCCAGCACTGCCAGGAGGAGAGGTGGTGCTGGTGGTGGACATGGCTGTCGTTGCCCTTGCCGTTGTGCCTTGCCTTGCCTCCTTCCAGCCTTGTGCCTTGCTTCTTGCTGTGTATGCGGCGTGTTTGTTGAGATTTGCTTGCTTGCTTGGCAGGACTTGCCGTCATCAGCGCGTCATGTCGTGTTAAAACTGCATGGAACCGGCCCACCGGTTGGTTTTTTGTTTGTGAGCACACGCCCACTCACGCTCACGCTCACGACCGGTGCAAACGATCCAACAACAACAACAACAACAACAACAGGACAGCAACCATGGCAGACAAGGCAAACATGCAGCAGTCTCAGCAGCAGGCACCGCCTCCAGCGTACACTCAGCAGCAGCAAGGATACCCACCACAACAGGGTTACCCACCACAACAGGGTTACCCACCACAGCAGGGTTACCCGCCACAACAGGGTTACCCGCCACAACAGGGTTACCCACAACAGCAAGGATATCCCCAGCAAGGGTACTACCCGCCGCAACATGGGCCGGCAACAACAACTGGTTGGTGCAAGTCCAAGTGTTCAACCTGTGTGCGTGTGTGTTTGTGTGCATGTGCGTGTCTGTGTGATTATGTGTGCATGTGCGTGTCTGTGTGATTATGTGTGCACGTGTGTGTTTATGTGTGATATGAAGTGTCTTTGCTTGTCAACCGAATCAAATCTCACCTTACCACCACACGCACCACGCACATTGCGGATGTGTTTCTTCTGTATGCAGTGGTTGTTCGCCGCACTGAGAGCAATGTTGTTGGCAAGGAGTTTATCCCCATCAGTAAGTTTGTCGAGGCTGAAGTTTGGTGTGAGGGCCGAGGGGTTGCTTTGTCTGTTGCACTTCTACGCACATACACATACAATGTACACAACAGCACTTGTACGCACGGATACAACACATACAACACGTACAACACCCCCCCCCCACACACGCACACGCACACACACACACGCAGGTACAAACACACATACAATGTACACAACAGCGCTTGTACGCACGGATACAACACATACAACACGTACAACACCCCCCCCCCACACCCACACACACACAAACAAACAGGGACCAAAACACATTGGAAGGACACAAACACACTTGTACTTCCGCCCGGGTGCCAACACACACACACCCAGGGGCGAAAGGCACAAACACACACACACACACACACACGCACACACACACACACACACACACACACAGGTACAAACACACACGCAAACACACGCACACACAACACAATACAACATACATGCTGGGTTAGCTCACCTTCCCTTCCACCCTTTCCCCTTTGCCTCTTTCTTTCTCAACCCTTCTCGACTTGTCACTCATGAATCCCCAGTGCATCCCGCTGTTGCCGTGTTTCTGTGCATCGTGAACTTTTTGTTCCCTGGCCTGGGTACCATCATTGCGGGGTTCCTGGCGCTCTGCGGTGCCGCCAACCCCAACTCGGAGTCCCAGTCCGTCATCGCGACCTTCTGCGTCAACTTCTTCGTCGGCTTGCTTCAGCTCGCATTTGTTGTTGTGTTCCTGCTCGGGTGGGTGTGGTCCATCATGTGGGGCATCCTCTTTGTCGGCCAATCCGCTCAGTGGAACAACCCGGAGCACGTCGTCACCACCACCACCACAACCACGACTCAGCAGCAGCACCAGCAGTACCACCAACAACAGCAGTTCCACCAGCCCCCTCAGCAGGCGCAGAAGTGATCATGGGCAACGCGCATGCTCATGCTCGCTTTGGGTGAAGCGGTTGCAAAACCCATGCCTCTGATTACTCGCTTGATGTGCCATGTCCTGCCACTGTTTGTTTCCATGGTCACTTCACCGTTGCTCGAAGTTGGTGGGTTGCATCGTGTATCTGCGGTTGCCGCCATTTCACCGCGCTTGTCCCAGTTCAGTATGTTTGTCTCCTGCTCACTGTCGCTTGCCTCAGCCATTTTTGTTTGTGTGCCACCTTGCCTGCATCTGTTGCTGCCCTGCTGGTTATGCACCTTTTGTCCGTGTCGAGATGTGGCCCTTTCTTCGTGTATGCGAGGCGACCACATATGCCGTCTGCTCTTTTGCCGTTTGCTGTTTCACTGCTTGATTTCGTTCTCAATTATCACAACGTCTCGGTGAACACGTGCACACATGTACACAGCGAAACAGAGAGACAGAAACACAGAGAGACACACAAACAACCACACACCCACACACACACACACAGACACGCACACAGACAGACAGACAGACACAGACACACACACACACACACTGTGGAATTATGAGGGTTTCTGCTGGCGTTGTTGCATGCGCTGCAGGAAGAGAGATGGCTTTGAGCGCGAGGGCAGCGGGTGGCTGTGGGCGAGCGGCGGCGCAGCTTCAACATGCAGGTGGGGGTGATGAATGTGGTGGTGGTAGCCGTGTGCAGAAGAAGAAGAGGGTTGTGGTGGTGTGCGGTCGCGGTGGGCAGCCATGGTTTGAGCCAGCTGCCGCTCAACCACTTCTCCATTGGACACCGCCTGCAGATGCACGGTCGGTCGTGGTGATGAAAATTAGTCAACGCAGTTCACGTGAGGTGGAAGAAGACGCACGAATGAAACCAGCGGAACAGGGTACTTGGGAGAGGATGGGGGAAGGGGGAAACACAGTTGAGGGTGGATGCAAACACAGGCAACAAGTCCCAGCGGCCAAACGGGCATTGCCCAGCTACAACAACACCGGCCAGCAAGCAAAGCGAGGACGAAACAGCACACGGGAGCCACACCCAACGCACAGCAGCAGCCACAATTACCGCACCGCGCGTTGTTGAGGAGGCTGCTGCTCGCGAAGGGCTTCGCGTGTTTCTTGCCGTCCAGCAATTGAGTCTGGTGTGTCCATCGTCTCAAACTCCTTTTCATCGACGCTTGGTGCAAATCGAACGCGGTTCTTCTTCTTCTTCTCCTGCCTCCCCTGCTTCTTCTTTCCCTTCTTGGCCTCTACATGTCCCGGCGTTGCTGTCGTCTCGCTCACTCCACTGCCTTCCTGTGTCCACGCCAGATCTGGGTGGTTGTCACTGACCGGGTGCACGTGCGTGTCCTCCTCATTAGGCACCGCAATGTCTGCCGGCGTGCTTGGGGTGCGGGTGTGTGCAGCGGGTTTGTTGGCTGCATTGCTGTGGCGAAACCGAATGGACAGCGTATTGCGCGGTTGTTGTTGTTGTTGTTGTTGTTGTTGTTGTTGTTGTTGTTGTTGTTGTTGTTGTTGTTGTTGTTGTTGTTGTCGTCGTTCTTCTTCTTCTTCTTCTTCTTCTTCTTCTTCTTCTTCTTCTTCTTCTTCTTCTTCTTCTTCTTCTTCTTCTTCTTCTTCTTCTTCTTCTTCTTCTTCTTCTTCTTCGTGTGCACGACCAAGAAGTCCTTGCCAAAATGCGTCCAGGCTCTGCGGTCTCAGGTCTCCAACGTCATCATCATCATCATCATCATCATCATCATCATCATCATCATCATCATCATCATCATCATCATCATCATCATCATCATCATCATCGTCCTCGTACGGGACATCTCCACCACTGAGGTTGGGTTGTCGCTTGTCGCCTTCGCTGGTGTCACGCCCGTGCACTTCCGTGCCTCCCTCTGACACCACACAGAAGATAACGAGGCAAAGGGATTCATGCGCATGGGTACAAACAAATGGACATGTAGAGAGGGTGCACACGGGCGCACGCGAGCGCACAGGACCAAACACAAGCAGGCGGCACTAGGGCAAGTAAATGCACGCAACACGCACACACCATCTGGTAGCGGCGGCTCCTTGTCAAACACCATTTCTTCGCCAAACATCTTTGCCATTTCCGTCTGTGGACGGCAAAGGAAGAAGAGCGGGGAGGGTGAGCACCGCACTGTCACGCTTCATCTCATACAAGGAAAGCAAAGCCAAGGCAGGGCAAGGTCAGGCAGAAGTAACGATTGTAGTTACAGCATCAGCTCACGTCTTTGGCAATGTCTTGAGAAATGTCCTTTCGCAGAGCCAAGTTGTGCAGCGTGCGCTGTAGGACGGCCACATCCTCTTCAATGTCTGCAAGCACAGCATACAACGGCGCGTGAGAGACGGTTGTGCAGTGATATCGTGTGGTTGGGAAGGGGGCGCCACGTGAGCACGTAGTACTTGCCAACCACGCGCTCTCACACGAAGAAAAAGGAAACCAGAGAGGTACAGAGACAGAGAGGTAGAGAAGTAGGCTAGTCAGAGAGACAGACTTACAGGCATGGACACAAGCGAAGACACGGACACAAGTGAAGACAGGGCACAAGTTGAGATAAAGACGTCGTCACACACACACACACACACACACACGCACACACGCACGCTCACAGAGACAGACAGACAGACAGACAGACACAGACACACACACAGACACACACACACACAGACACGCACACACACAGACACACACACGCACACTCACAGAGACAGAGACACAGACACAGACACAGCCATAGACGCAGACAGACAGATACGCACACACACAGACACACAGACACACAGACAGACGCAGACACACAGACAGACACACACAGAACACACGCACGCACGTTTGCGGCGCCGAGATGCAATGTCTTTTGCACGCGCGGCCGGCATCTCCGCATATTGGTTGTCGCCCAGCAACACGGTAATCTCATTGGTGTGCACCAGTCTTCCAGGAAAGAAGGCGGCCTTGCCAAATGGCACCTGAGGATGAACCAGCGATGCGTATGAAATGAGAATGGCAGTTCCGCTGGTCATGAAGAACCGTGTCGCACGAGCAGGGCAGATTGCGAAGCAGCGCAGAGCGTGTATCCTGGACATGCACCATTGCATCGACAGTGAGATGCGTGGGCAAGTCCTCGAGCGTCTCCTCCAGTGCCTGCAGTTCCTTGACTGCACTTTTCTTTGTCAGCAGCTCCTCTTGCGTTTCGTTTGCCACCTGGAACAGCACAAGGAGCGAGCGGAGGTGGAGGGAGTGAACGTGGATGTGCAGGTATGAGAGATAGATGGATACGCAGATGGACAGAGGCACACACAAGCAGATTCACAAGCAGATTGGCACACAGATTGGCACACGGATTGGCACACAGATTGGCACACACACACAGACACTCACACACAGAGACAGACACTCACACACACAGAGACAGACAGACACACACACACACACACACACACACACACACACATACACACACACGCACACACATACACACACACACATACACACACACACACATACACACACACACACACACACACACACACACACGTGCACACACCTTCTGCCATTGTGCAGTGTAGAAGTCAAAGTCCAGCTGCTGTGGGTTGCTCATCGTTGTCTTGCTTCTTCGTGCATGCGCTGCATGTCCGATTTTTGTGCTTTGTGCGTGCGTGTGTGTGGTGGCAACGAACCCCAACGAAGATAAGCACGCAACGAACAACACAACACAACAATACCATTCCAGGCAGGCAACAGCGACGAAGTTGGAGAAGCACGGCGGCGCATGGGCAGCAGAGATGGGCAAGGGTGGTGTTGCTGAAGGGGTTGTACCACCAGGACAGAAGGTGGTGGAAGAAGAGCAAGAAGAGGAGCAGCGGCAGAGAAGCAGCAGTCGTCATGCAAGTGTGCTTGAAGGGACTGGGCAGGCGGACGTGGGCTCGGCGTCGTGTGGATCATGGGGCTCGTCGCTAAGCGCGGTGGAGGAAGAGCTTGCAGCACTGCGCCACCGGCACGCGCAGCTGTTGGCGGAGAAGGAGGCTGTGGACGGCATGCTGGATGACGCGGATGATGAGCTGGAGACCACGCAAAGCCGCCTCACTCACCTCGAGAAGACATGCAGGCAACAAGCTGCAGAGCTGCGGGCTGAGCGGGAGGCACTCATGCTGCTCCGGCAAGACTACGAAGCCATGCAGGCAGATCTGGACCAGTCCCGTCACCACCAACATCAACAACTACGCCGCAGCCGACACGACAGCACCGGCGACGGCTGCCTGGACATGGCCCAGCTGGACGAGGTCAACCTGCAGATGCGCAACGCAGGTACATTGGAGGGTGACGAGCAATCGACGTCATCGCCAGTCAGGGCCGAGGTGCAGCTGGACGATGCGGGCGTGCGCGCATCTCTTGCGTCCATCCTGCCTGCTGACATGGCTGCACGGCTGTTGCAGGCGGAGGACGCGCAGACCCAGCTCCTCACGTTGGTGGAGCAGCTGCAGCTCAGCCTTTCAGCTCAACAGCGCGACAACGACGACCCTTCACAACGACGACCACAGCCAGAGAACAGCGTGCTTGCCACGACACATGGCACGACAGCAACCTGGCAAGAAGAACAAGCAGAAGCAGAACAAGCAGAAGCAGAACAAGCCGAAGCCGAAGAAGAAGCAGAAGAAGGCAGTGAAGGGAAACGGGAAGGGCAAGCCAGGAATACAGCCGATGCAGCAGACGATGAACCGCCTCAAGGGGCGGGCGTGGACGACAGCCTGGCGGGCACGCAGCACCCGACGAGCGGCGCTGACTCCGATGTCGATGTCGAAGACACGACATCATGCCATGAACTCAGTTTGGCCGAGGAGCTCTGTCAGGCTGATGAACATCTTGCCAATGAAAGCACGGTGGGTCCCCCGGCCAGGGCAGGTGACGAGGAGGACGTACTCAAGACAGGCACGCTCAACAGCTGCAGGGAACCCGCACTTTCTCATCTTAGTCGGTCTGTGGATGGCAATGCCACTGGCGGTTTTGGTGAATATGATGCCACCCGTGCTTGCGATGAGGAGGATTGCAGTCGCACGTGGGACGAGCACATTGGTCAGCAGCGTCTTGACGCAGATGAGGGTGAACATGGCGTAGATGGGGAAGATGATGACGAGTTCTTTGATTGCAAAGCGGAGATGATCGTGACGGTTGAGGACGACATCAACAGCACGGTGTCCGCAACAGCGGCGGGGACCCACACATCCAATGCAGGCGCCAACGCCAACCACGGTGTGGAGAACACGAGCTGCACTGGCCCTGCCACCGGCGTGTGTGGTGGTGAGCAGCGTACGCCAGACAGTAGTTGTGATCTTGATGATGCTGACGGTGGTGGTGATGATGGTGGTGGTCGAGTTGTGCAGGCTGTGATGAGTGAGGATGCTGTGCGTGCAATTCTGAGCCATGGCCCGCAGCCCGTGCCTGAATTACAACGTCAGCTGATTGAGGACAGCGGGTTGGCGAGCAAGTATAGATCACAGGCCCAGCACCAGCTCCGACATGTGTTGGCGGAGATGGAGGCCAAGGACACCCTCGTGTTCACCGTGCAAGGCACGGCCCTGTTGGCCGTCCTGAGATAGCGCCCCCCCGTGTGTGTGTGTGTGT